AATGTCAAAAGAAAATTTGGCAAAAAAACATCAATGTCACACATACAAAAAAAAAACATACTTTTACGTTAAAACATTAAAAATACATATATTCAAGACACTGTCTGTGTATTGATAGAAAGATCTGATTACAACCATCTTTTTGTATTGAGTTTTACATGTTTTTAATTAAAAGACATAAAAGCCAGAACAAACAGATTTGAAGACACTGTTGTACCAAAATTAACTAGTAAACAATAAAGCTTTTGGTTTTTGTAATACAACAACGTACAAAGCAGTGGAATACATTGAAACTCTTGCTATAATATCTCATGTGTAATACTCCAACAAATAGCCAGGACCGGGTTTGTAAGGATCAGTTTCTACATAAGCCTCAGGGCGATCAAAGCCGAGATCGTTGACACGGTTACTCAGAACATGAAAGATGGCTTTTTTGGAACCTCCATACTCGTCTCTGTTCTTCTCCACGTACTCTGTTGCTTCAGCTGCTACGCTATTGACAAATTCAAACCGATTGTCTTCCCTCAAAAGCAGCTGTTCTATGTCCATTGTCATTACCTTCCCCACTTCTCTTATCTTCCTTACTTGCTCTTCCACAAATGGAACTCTTTGCATTTTGTAACGCAACATATCATCCTTCTTCGTCTAGAGAACAAAACAGACATAGAGAGGTTGTTAATTCATGAAGCAATTGATGGCTGCTTTACACAAACTGCAAACCTACACACTTGTTTTGATATCTGACTTTCAATTTATGGGTTTGAGGAACTAAAGAATCTAGACAATGCATTGTTCTGGCTTTGATACTTATGAATTATAGATTTTTTAGTAATTGGTCGTCTCCAAGCAAAGCTAAACCCTAATATTGATTCCTGATTCCAATTTGGGCATAACATGGAACTGGAAAATGACCGAAATCTCAAAAAGTAATTTCAGACATTGATCGTATTCTTACCAATGTTCTCCTCCGCCAAACACGGCGACCATTATCATCTCTTTGAATCCCACAAGAAACCTGAAAAAAATCAACTCAATTTCTTACCTGAATAACTCGTATAGATATATATATATCAACCATACCATACACACCTGAGACAGAAATGTGCCTGAACGTAAGTTCCCGCTTCTCGTATCAGCAATCTGA